CATATTTTAATACAAGATGTTGCTGCCTTTGTACCATGTAACAAGCACTCATACATGTTCTGGAAGGAAAAATGGTGACTGTTTCAAATTGGCTGTATGTCCTAGACAAGAATTCCCCTGCCCCTTTGAACTAGATTATTCTGGGAGCAGCAGGTATGGATTTTCCAAAAGGAAGTCTGGGGTACTCCTTAGATTGTACCATGCCCTGTCCCAGATCCTGTCTTAAGGATGCCTGGACACTGTCCCAGGCTTCCAGAGAACTCCATATAGGGAAGAGTTAGAGTGTTCTTTCATTCCTGTGAAAATATTCGTTGAGCCATTGATTGCTTTGTATCAGACAGTGTTCCAGTTACTGAAACACTGCATACCAGGCATTTTATTCTCAGAGAAGCCCTTCCAGGTAAGTGTGTTTTAATTTTACAGATGAGGAACTTGAGGTCCAGAGAAGTTAAGTAACTTGTCTCAGCTTCCGGAGTTAAAAAAATAGAGCCTAAACATTTAACCTTGTCTGTCTGGTCTAATGTATATATTCTTTCTATTATGTCTGGCATGTAATAATTGTTTATCTGAAATTAAAATTTAACTGAGTGTCCTGTGGTCAGCCTTGTAACCCTGAGAGGATGATCTCCTTAGGGCCAGCGAGGCAGAAACAGGATGTCCATTATTTTGCTCCATTTTTTCTCATATTGAATTACTACCTATATAATCTTATTTTACCTTAATTGTCCCTTTGAAGCCCTGTGTCTGAATATATTCTCATTCTGAGGTTCTAAAGGTTAGGGCTTCAACATATGAATTTAGGGGGACATAGTTCAATCTGTCACATCATCATACTAGATAATTGTGGGTCCTAAATCAAGCAGCTGCTGCAAAGAGCTGCTGAGGATTGTTGGCAATACCAACTTTCCAAAGTTAAGCTCATGGGTAATGATTATTCTGCCCTTCCCTTGCAATAGATTTCATAAACCTAAAAGGATGGCTCCAAAGTGGAATTTAGTTAAAGAAGAGATGTATTATCTAGATATCTTATTAATCTTGGTTAATAATATTAATTATTAACAAGCAGCAGTTAAATCAATAGTCATGGAATTATTAAAAAAAGAGAGAGTGAGAAAGAGAAAAATAAACATTTATTGGAAGAACTCTAACAGAGTAAAATCTGTCAGAATGCTTCCAAGGTTCAAATCCTCCCTTTGATTACCTAAGCAACTTGTGGTCTATCATTGATACTTTATTTCTTTTTAACAGCTGCTTCCCTCCCCACCCCTTCTAGGATGGATTATAGGGTGACAGTGGTCCTCAAGGCTCCTCTGACTGGATCGGGTGTGCCTAACACAGACTAGCAGGGGTGCAGGGAAGAGACCAGCCAAGCAAGCCAGGCCAACTGAGTCAACTGGGACTGGTAAAGTCACATGGAATGTGCTGCCCATTTTTGACCCATTCCCTCACTGCCATCCTTCAGGGTTGAGGCACTCACTAAGTCAGTTGCAAAGAGTGTTGATGGATAGCTCGCCACCAAATCCCCCTCCAGGATTGCTCTCAATTGAAGAGACACCTCTTTCTAGTCATGCTCCCTCCCCAAGGAATTAAATAAACAAATAGAAATGCTTGATGTAACTGCTCCAGTCACAACTGGTTCATAGGAATCTTCAGAAGACAGTTCTTGAAGGCATCTGAAGTGGGATCACTCATAAGAGAAATCTAGAGATTTTGTAAGTTTTAAGCAATAAGGAAAATGAACTGTCACAAATTAATATCATATAAATGTAGATTATCTCATTTTCTTATAAATGGAAAAATGTTCGGGCAACTACATTTGAGGAGTAAATAAAGATCTGATGTCAGCACTAAACCTTCAAAATGGAAAATTGTGTTATGGATTGAATTTTGTCCACCAAAAAAGATACATTGAAGTACTCTTCCCTGGTACCTAAGATCGTGAACTTGCTCTGAAACAGGCGCTTTATAGAGGTAATCATGTTAAAATGGCATAATTCAAAATGACTTGCGTGCTTACAAAAAGGGAAAATCTGGGGCCTCCCCTGGTGGCGCAGGTGGTTGAGCGCGGCACTGTGGTTCAATCCTGGCCAACCAGCAAGAGTCCCACATGGCGTGGCAGGCCTCTTCTGTCTCACCCGCTGCTCCCCTCAGCAGTGTATTTTGTCGGTCTGCCTCTTCTGTTCCCGCCTTTGTCTCTGGTGAATCCTCTCACCCTCCTGTGCATCTTGCCTGTACCCCGGTTCTTGTATAAATAAATAAATCTTTTTTTTTTAAAAGGGAAATTTGAACATAGAATCACGAACATCGTGAAGATGTGAAGGTATACAATGAGAGATCGATACCTGTGTAACTGGGATGATTCAGCTGGCATCTAAGGGATGCCAAACGTTGCTAGCAAACACCAGAAACTAGAAGAGGCAAGCAAGGATTCTCCTTTAGACTTATCATCAGAGAAAGCAAAGCCCTAGCCACACCTTGACTTCAAACTTCTAGCCTCCAGAATTATGAGACAGTAAATTAATGTTTACTTCAGTCATATGGCCATCCTCTCTAGATGCCTCATATTCCTCAGCTACACCATTAAGAAGTAGGTTTTATTTGGTCTCAAGTTCAAAAACCTTAAGGAGAGACTTAACTGGCTTAAGTTGAGTCGGGTTTTATAGTTGAACTAATCGGGTTCACTGATAGGTAGTAAATGAGAAGATGACAGTTCTTTTATAGCGTGTGATATCCATAAAAAGTGGAGGCTCATGTTCCTTACCTCACCTACTGAGAGGTGGGGCTGAGTGGTGAGGGGAAGCTAGAAGAGACTTTGAAAGACGAGACACGGGAGGAGACATGTGGAGCTGAGACATGTGAAGAAGGTCCACTTGCTCCTCGGCTTTGAACTTGCACCAGTGACCTTGGGGATGCGGAAGGAGACGCATGGCATTGAGATATGTAGAAACACTTGTAGGAGACCTGGATTTGTTCTTTCATCCCAAACTTGCCTGGCCCCTTTGTACCCCTTACTTTTCCCTGCCAGAAAGTGCCTTAGACTTATGGCAAGCTTTTGGGCATCAGCAACCCCACTTTGGGCTGTTTGGCTGGGCGTTTACCCATGAAGGGATGGGTAATTTTGGCTGTTTTACTGGGAAACTATATCCTTTCTTCTCTTCTCTCTCTGCACACTATTCTATTAAAATTACGTCACTCTAAGTGCATGCTTTGTCTTTATGTGGTGGATGGTAGAACTGCTTTAGAGTATGCAGGTTTGAGGGTTTGGAGGTACTGCTCAGTCTGCACTAAAAATTCCTCAATGAAAACATGTTAGGCAAGTGAAACAGAACTCAGGGGACAAAACCGTAGATACCAACTAACATGTTATAATTGGCTCTGAGCAAAATTTTATATTTAACCAATGTGCTGAGAAATGTGCATGTCAAGTATTTGCCTTTTGTAATGCTTCATATTCACATCCCTGACACAATGTCTAGGAACGGTATTAAGCTAGTACTTTCCAGTACTTAAGATTTATATCAGTGAATCATTTTGTGTTGGCCAACACATTCATAATGAAAGTCACAAACAGTAATAACAGCTAACACTTACTGAAAGCTTATTAAGATCAAAGTGCTTTTTATAAAATGTATTATTTTTTATAGAGGTAATGTTGGTTTACACTATTATATGTGATTTAGGGGGTGTAAGCTCACACTTCTCAAGTTGTTTATTATCAACCACACCTACCAACAAGGCACCCATGATCTGCTACTTTATACTATTGGGGCCCATTCCCTCTTTGTGCACTCCCCCCACCCCCTGCCTTCCAGGAGCCTCAATTTTCCAGTTAGATTTCTAGGGTTTGGTTTGGTTTTTCCTTTTCCTTTGTTTTGTTTCTATATATTCCACTTCTGAGTAAATCATGTAGTATCAGCCTTTCTGTGAAAGAACAAGTTATTTTTTAAAGTGTTTTCCATGTTTTAAAACTAAGTTAATCCTCATAACTACAGTTGGAGGTATATACTACCATCTGCATTTTACAGAGCGAAAACAGCCACAGAGAGGTTAAGTAATTTGCCAAAGGTTATAGCACCTGGAAGAAGAGGAGTTGGGGGGTTTGATATAGCAGCCTAGACACAGAGTTGTGCTCTTTACTTCTTCACAAACCAACCTCAATTGTAATCTGAGGGTTAAAACCTGCCCTATTATAAATTTCATTCTTAACAGTCTGGTTATTTTAATTTCTAACTCCTAAAAGAAACTGTATAACACTCAGATTAAGTAATGTCATATTTTTATCACCCCATAGTATTTCTCCATTCTCCTTTCTGATCAATAGCTCCCCCCAGAAAAGTAACCACTATTGTAACTTCTATCACCATGATCAGTTTTGTCCATTTTTGATCATTATATTGATAGAAATGTTATCCTTAATAAACACTCTTTTGTCTCTGGCTTCATTTGCTCAACATTGTATATAAAATTTAACTATATTTTTTTTGCATGCATTACTCTGTAGTTTCTTTTTAATTATTTTTTAATTATTTCTTTATAATATTCCATTGTACAAATATACCACATTATAGTCATATATTTTATTATTGATGGGAATTCTTATATATATTCTTTGGTCAACAAATGACCTTATTTTGCTGGGTAGAGACCTAGGGAAAGAACTGCCAGGTTATAGGATATGATATATTTAGCTTTACTGGTTTAATGACTTTCCCAATCTAGTTCAGGCCCTTTTGTCCAGAGGGTAATCACCACCCTAAGCCAAACTCTGTCTTCTTCAGTATTTGCTTCAACCACACCCTGTGTGTACAGTGTTGGGATTGATCTTTGCTAGTCTATATTCTTTCCTCAGACATGCCACCTGCCCAAAAGCACAGCTATGAATTTCTATTCATTCTTGCTTCATCCACAGAATCTAGTGAAGAAACCACTTTAATAACTCTTCTCAAACTTACGTAAGTCTAATTTTGGCATGGGCAAATTTTACCTTTTAATTTTCTTAATTGAAGTAACATTGGATAACAATGTATAAGTTTCATGTGTGCATCCTAACATATCAACACCTGTATTTACCACATTAAGGTCACCACTAAAAGTGCCATTCTGTGTTTTGGCATACAGTTGACTCCTTTTCCCCATCAACTGGAAAAAAAGACAAGAGCCTTCTCTTTTATAAACATTTATTAGGCATTGCTAGCAGATGTTGCATGATGTATTATTGCACACATCCTGCGAGTAAACAGCACTCCACAGTAATCCATACAACAGCTCACACAGCCACAGTCAAAATAGGTGCTTACCATTACACTTTCCATCCAAGTAGAGGAAATGCTTTATCCTTCCATCAGATTGCATCTCATAATTAAGACTGCCCTGCCACTCTAAAACAACCAAAACAATATAAAAGAAAGCCCCTCCACAACAAAAGGTTATAGGGACATTACTGAAAGTCCAAAATTAGACTCCGAAATATCACATGGTATCCATCTTTTGTAAGACTTGCCTCTAAAATTTGTGTGATCTGACACTTGGGTTGTTTTTACCGCCAGCAGCAAATCAAACTGTATAATAGGAAGGAGGAGTAATGGGCACATACCCACTGAAAAGTCTTGAGGTAATAGATTTTTAAATTTCGCTGCTTAAAAAAAAAATCTGTTAATTTCCAAGTCCTGTCCAGCAGGACATATCTGTTGGCAGGAAGATTCTTCTACTCCTTTTTTTAATTTGTCAAATATTTACACATATTTGCATAAACAACCTATGTCGTCTTTTCTAAGCACATGATTTATTTTAACTATTCATCAACATTCATCAAGAAAAGTTGAATTATATACTATGATACATAAAAGGATACAACAAACCGAACTTTGTATATAAAGCTGAAAATAAAAGGTGCCGAACAAGAAGAGCAAAATAAGATATAGTACAAAATGGCTTGATGTCAGTGTAATCTACTGTGAGTGAAGAACTACATACAAGTAGCCAGCACATGGTTCTTCAGCATCTGTGTGGAAGCAGATTACAGATAAAATATTGCCAAAGATAAATTGTAGGAAATTGGTCAAATTCCTAAATGCCATAAAATTGCTTTCAATTTTAAAGATGTTTGTTTTAAAAGCATTTTTTCCTAATTGGAGCTATCGATTATAATAGCCATTCCAACTTTAATGATCAGCATTTTTTTTGTGTGTGATTTCAAAATACATTTCAATTATAATGGCTTCAATTTCTGGTGTTTAATACCTTTTCTACTTCAGCTTAAAAATGAACATAAAATTAAAAAATATATTGGCCAACCTGCTATAGCGATAATACAGTGGATTAAGTAGCAAATGCAGCCTATATACATCCCTAATGATGCTATTTCATCAATACTTTAAATAGAGGGACCAAGGAACATTCACAAAAAATATATGGCTCTTTAGATAAGAAATAAAGTCAAGTGAAAAAAATAAGGCACTAATAACATATATAAATGTTATATACTCTCATCACACAAAGCACCATATGGAAGGTTGAAGGGACTATACATTAGTGCTATTGGAAAATAGGAATAACCCAATTTCCCTGACTTTTATTCACCAATTTCTCCCTTTCTTTTCAGTAATTAATGTATAAACACTAAAATGGTGAAGAAAGCTAAACGCTACACTAAAAGCACAAAACATGGGACCAAGAATATGAGATAGTCACTTGGAAGTAAGTTAATTATTCTAACAAAAAGAGAGTAAGATCTTAAATACACCTTATTTTCCAACATTTTCATCTCAATGGAATTTTTTTACTTTCTAATTTTCTCAGGGACTTTACAATAGTGTCTATTTTATTTTCTAGCTACCTATTTCTTTTTAAAATATATTCAAAATTGTTTTCTTCACATAGTCTTATGGATATCAACTAACAGTATGACTAGTGAAAAGTTAGAAACATTTAAAAAATAAAATTACATAAATATTTTTCAATATCATTGAAAAAGGAAAGAAAATATCTTCCCATGAGACTCATTTAAACATGAAAAATATTATAATTATTTGGAAAATGACTACACATTTTATAGGAAATGTAAAGTAGGCAATATAATGAAACAATGGACAAGATGTGGTATGAAATATTAGTGAAAAGTCATTTATCTTGAAATGAAGAAATTTATTCATTTGCTATTGAGCATGAGGACATAATTCAATGGGATATATTCTGGTAATGCAAATAGGAGATGACAATTATTCCTTCAAATGGCAACTTCGGAATATAGAGTCACACAGATTAAACACCCAAATGTTTTTCTTTTAGGGAGTTCACATTCTTTGTGGAAAAAAGTTATGAATTATCTTATTTTCCATCGTTTTGCAACGGATACATATAGGTATCAATATATTTGTTTCATGAAAGTTATAATCAATTTTGTACAAAATAGAAATAAAACTTTTATGGCTTAATAAATAATGTGTTAACTTTTTAATGCCACTGTTTTTGTGTTCCATCAACATAAAACTGTGATCTCTCAGAACGTAATTTAATTGCTTTCATAAGCAGTAAGAATGTCGATTTTCACATTAAAACTCTGTAACAGATCACCCTTAAAGAAAATGGTTACATGGTTTTATATGTACACGTGTGTATACTTGATGTTCTAGGTTTCATATGAAATGTAAAGTTGCTCTATTGTTTACATTGCTATCTACAAAGTTTGAATTATGATGAAAGTGATCAAATGAGAAAATAAAGCTATTGCCATAGGAAAGTTTTAGAAAAGGGTTTGAAGTAGGTTGATACTTCATATAGAGTTCTTTATAAAGGAACATAAAATATGCTAATTTTCTGTAAACTGAAAAATTTCAAATATTTATATCAATTATTTAAGTAGTATTTACTTGAAAGAAGCAATAAAAGTATATTTGGACATAGAGCAATTAATACATTAATAGTCTATGTCGTTTTCAAGAATTTGACTGGATTATTACTCAAATAGTAATTTGACTTGCTGGGACATGGAGAACACCTAACAACTTTGCAAGGAACCAATGACTTTCCAGTTACAATGAAGAAACTGAAATAGTATTATTTCAGCAATTTCTGGGGTTCTTTAACAATTCTTCAGCAATTTCTGGGGTTCGTTAATTTGGGTGTTAAAAGTTTACCTTTGTTGTTCTTCACTTCGAAAAAAAAAAGTTTACCTTTGTTGAACTTTTCCAAGTCATGTACTAAACCTATATTAAGTTTATCTTGAATGTGGCTTATATCTAAATCATTTTAGTGAAAAAGTTGAACATTTGCAAATGACAAATGATTTCTCTAGAATAGGGCTATATCAGTTACATTTGATGTGATCTACTTTAGATAATCAAAGTCTAAAAATGTTCACAGAGCATGAATTTATGGTTGAGTTGTATATATAAATGCTACATTATAGAAATGTAGCTGCAAGATCAAGCTGTAGGACTTTTTGCTGAAACAAAGATCATATACCATATACTTAGCTACTTTGGATGTATTGTGAATAACCCACACATGCTTTTTTGTCAACTAACATGCAAATACTACATTGACCTTACAATATGCATGAAGCATTTTTGAAGCTTAGTCTTAGAGCATTATTAGGTTTTCTGATCCAGTGATATCTTCTCATTCTTTTGACTTCCTGTCATAGGGCTGGGCAGTGGTCTCTAACTCCTATCAAGAAGGGGAAAACAGTGTTCCAGGAACTCCTGATATGTCTTAATTTACAGATAAAATAAATCAAGATAATTATGTTCGCTATCAAAGCCAATTAATGGAATCCTTTCAGTGTTTGAATTTCATTAGAGTTAAAGAAGTTAATGGTGAGATACAATTTCTCCCAAACTTGACCAAGATGGGAAAGGAACTGCAGAGGAAAAAACAAGATAGTCAGGTAATCTAAAAGAAAACAGGAACAAGATTTGAAGCATCATTTCACAAACACGGACTCTTTTTATGATGGAACAGAGTCACAAAAATGTGTAAGACCCAAAAACCAAAAAAATGCTATTTTCTATGCTAATAAGTTTGCATAATCTAAGTGATGCAGAGATAACTATACTAATGCAGTTGTTTACAAGCTAAGTGGAAATGACAAAAAAAGGGCAGTGACAATTCTTTATGAATTTTTTTTTAAAAAAGACTTATTGCCATTTAAATTCACATTGTTGTTCCCAAAACAGTCACTTCTTTAGCCAAAAAAGAATGTACTTTGTAATATGCATAGCTACATGCTTCTAAAATTAGCACTATCTATGGAGATCTACACGGTCTGTGGCATAGAAAGTTTCAGCTAATGCTCCAAATAGACCTGCCTCTTTACTCTTTGGATTTGGATAAAGCCACTAAAGCTTCAGCCTTGCAAGAGTGATGCACAATAGAACACCCACACAATAGTTGGTTATGAAATGAATATTAGTTTTAGCCTTAAATCAGAATGTTTTAAAGATTGGCATCATGAGTTTCATCCAAAATGTAACATTTCATAATCTTAATTACTTCCCAAATTTTGGAACTCTTTACTCAGAATATATCTATTAATGTGACTATAAAATTATTTCCATTTTATAAGAGTAATAATTATAGACATACACAATAAAATTGGGATTTTGGAATTTACTTTCCAGAAGAGAAGTGTCATAATTAAAATAATTTTAAAAACAAAGTATGTTCAAATGGCTATTGGCGATAGTTTTGATATACTCTATTTCTAGTCAGTGGTTTTTATTTTATAGTTACAATCAGTTATGAAAATGCAGTTCCAACTTGCAGTAGAAATGAACTTAATTTCATAAACAAATATTCTAAACAAGGCTATTAGCTAAATTTTATTGATTGCTTGCTATGTTTGAGTTCCAGATACTAATTTGTAAGATTATTATAATTTCAAAAACTTGCATTTTTCAGGTGTGTTTTACTTATTTTAAATTTTCAGCATTGAATTCCTCCTCCCAAATTTAAAGAGGTGACATGTTTGCTAACACTGTTTTCCTCCTATCATGTATATGACATGTACATATATATATAGGTATCAGTTGCTTTAACTGTCAAATTACTTTATGGCACAAGTATTATAAAGTGCATTATTGAGTTTTAAGGCTATATTTACACAAAACAATAAAGTTGACCACAGGAAAAATTACTCTCATAGTTGGGATAGGTATCAGCTACATTTATGAAAAGATATACATAAAACCCAATGTGAAGTCTCACATGAAGGCATATGTACAATTTGCTTATAAATTAAAATCTAAAATGGATTTTGGCATGAATTTTTAATTTTTGTTACGTAAGGAAGTGTATGAGTTCATGTTATTCAGAACACTAACTTTTTTATCATTATAAATTTTAACAGGTGACCTAAAAAGTCAGAATTTGAAAACAATTAATCGCATTTATTTCATGAGAAGTTGGAAGAATTTTTTTGGCAAGTTTACTCTAATTTGTCAAAGGTCAGAAGGGAATGATGATGCTTTGTTCGTGCCATGGTGAGTTTTTCACCCCCTTCTGTCTCTCACCCTCTGCTGAGAAGTTAGAGCATCAGAGGAATGGATTAAAATGAGGTGGTGAGGGCTGCCAGGGAGCAGAAGAGATTATGGTTGGTTTATACACATTTTATGGGAGCCGTGGGCCATGCAATCTGTTTGGGTGGAAGGATTAGAAGATGAAGGCTCATCTGGGATTCAGGAGACAGTGAGTGGCACAGGACAGGGAAAGTCCTGATAGGCACCCATGAATCCTGATTCCAAGCAGAGAAAATACAATTAAAAGTATCAGGTTGTAACCTGACTGGTGTTTAATTATCTTTGATTGTTTTCCTGTTCTATCTTTCGGATAGAATAACACACCTATCAGAAAATCAAAGTGGTGGCAACAGGATGTTGCTTGTAACAGAAGGCTTGATGACCTTTTTTTTTTTTTTTTTAAACTCTACATACAGAATATCCTACGGCACTGCTAGGATTCATTGTAAAATGACTGTTTCATGTTAACCCAATGTACAAGCATTCCTGCAAACAATCAGATCTTACAAACAGTCTAGTTACGTTTTCTATGGATAACTGTGGTCATTCATAGTTGCCAACACAGTGCTTCCTACTTTTCACAACAGCATAATTAAGTTCTTTTGTGGAACGACATGCATGAACATGGATAGTGTTTTTTAAAAATGTGACCAACATCAATTTGGCTATTTTTTTTAAATCTTCAAGTTTTAAAACAAGGCAGTCCAAATATCAATGCATCCTTCTCACATAACTTATAGACATCTCAGTATTCTACTTTTAAAGGAATATGACGAATTTTCTTTCATAATTTTTGGCAAGGTATTTAATTAAGCAGGGAGAGGAGGAGCTATGTTGCAAAAGATGTTTTTCTTTAAAAACTATGCTATTTTTATATAATCTTTTTGACTCCAAAAAAGGGTCTCAAGTACATGATTTCTATGAAACTCATTCACTGAAAATGCATCAATGTTTTATTACAAATATCTTATAAAAGCCAAATATAAAAAGTTATGGAAATGTTCACATAAAGTGACAAAATATATGCGAAGGATCTTCAGCGATGTTTTGTAATAGGAAAGTGAAAATAATCTCAATAGTCATTCAATACGGGGCTAACTGAATTATAGCCCCACAATGGAATCTATAACTATCTACAAAAGAATGAGGTAAATTTATTTAAATTCCTGTGGGAAGGTGTCTACAAATAAAAAATATAGTTACAGGACAGTCAGAATATTATTATTGTATTTGTATAAAACTAATACAGATAGACACAGACACACACACGTATCTGTATACTTGTACAAAGTGTCTGCAAAGACATGAAACCATTAACAGTGGTTACCCCTAGAAAATAAGGGGTAGGGTAAGCAAAGGAATTTGCATTTTATAATTTTATATGGTTTGATTTTTTTGTTAAAGTATATATTAAATTTATGGAAAAAACATATAAAAATGACAGGCTTTGGATAGAAAGATAAGTATTTTATGTTCATGCTTATCCTTCTAAAGCAGTTGTTTAGATTTATTCCAAAAGTTGGAATACTACTGTTTTACCTTCATTGTTGGCACTAACATGTAAATGACCCTTTTCATTGTCTCCTGGTTTTTAAGATCTTGACACAAAAAATTCACAAATAATTACTCTTAGTCATTAGTATGGAAAGGGCTAACATATACCAATAGAGAGAAAAATACAAATGTTAATTTAAAAATATCTATGCAATAGAAAAATGAAAATTCTGTGCAACATTGTGTACGCTATCTCGAGCACCGATGAAAACAGCCTTCACTGATAACAGACACTACTTTCTAAGTGGAAAATTGGAACATTTCCAAATAATATAAAAATATCTCCAAAAGATAAGTTATTCAAAGAAAGGAATAAAAATCCCTGAGTCAGCCAAAGACACCAGATACAATAACCTAAGAAAATAGGTTCTCTAAGACCAGAGAGTATATTTATTTAGCTACTTCGTTTATTTATATGTGGCATATGAATGCATATGCAGCTACTGAAATATTTTTGTATAGATATGTATATACATACATGTATCATATACAAACATATCTACTAGATTTAATATTCATCATATTCAAATATTGTTGAACTAATACCTAAGTCAGAGAAAGACAATTTTACAAATATTAAGAACTTTCATGGCAGAAATACATGGACTTAAGTTAGAAAATCTTATTCTTTTAGTTTTAGTACTAGAGTATATAGAGCAGGCACTCAATAAATATTTGTCAAATGAAAGATGGATAAATGGAAAGATGAAGTTGTGAACTAGAGCATCACTTTTCCTTATATCATTCCAGAACTATAAACAACACACTCTCCTCCAATTGGAAACAGGCCAGCCTAGAAACTATAGTGTATTGATTCTGAGTGTTATTCGGAAATAATGGAAGTGTGTTGGTTTGTTATCCTGCAAGCAAACTTCACTGTCATGGACTTTTTAGATCAAACAAAAATGATAAAAGTTCTTATATTCTAGCGCCCAACGAAGACAAACTATCCATGTTTATGCATGTTTTGTCATAATCTATTTCAAGTCAGACAAGGCTGCAGACACATACATGCTACATATATGACAGAAAACTAGTTTTAAGGATTTGGAGACAATTGGAAACTACATTTTCTTAGGGGTGTCGTCACTTGCTTTCTGCTGATGAACCGTCATGATGAAACAGAGGAATAACATAATTTAGTTATCATGCCCCTTTCTTATTTTTAAAGATTTGCCAGTTTGGTAAAACTATCCTTGGTAAAATTTCCTTCATTTTTCTTTTGTTTCCTTTTTCAAAAGCAGTTTATGCTTTAGATAAACCCATGAAAACAAAAGCTTTGTTTTCAAATTAGCCCACCCATTGGAAGATATCAACATTATTTGATTTGAATAGAAACATAAGAAAAATCCTTCAAAACTGATATTTGTTTTTATGAAAAATAAAAATGAGGAAGAAAGAAAAAAAGAGAAATAAGAGGGCTGGGTATTAAATAATATCATATCTTGACCTAGAGTATAATTACCTGTAGTTCTAAAATGGTGAAAAAAAATGCAGAGTAAAGATTATTTAAAGTCTTAATTCAAGCATACTCTCTATGGCAAATTGTTATTTAAATTAACTAATCCAGTCTGAAGGATTTATTCAAATAGTAAAACATATATGCTAAAATACAGGAAATTTGGGGGGGGGGAAAGAACATTTAGGTCTTGAGAATTTCCTGAAAGCATCCTCTCAGTTTTGTCAGTTACAAAGTTTGATCATCCTTGAGGTGACAATGCACAAGTTTCTGTGTGTGTGTGACAGAGACAAATAGAAGAGAGAGAAAGAAATAGAAAGGGTAAACATCAAAATTGCCTGTTGTCTACATTGATTTTAATTCAGTACATTACCAAATTATGCCCACAAAGGAACCATCATCTTTAAATATGTCCATGAAAATGTGGAAAGATAATATAGAGGCACAGAACTTGACAAGTACAAGGTTATTGGGCTGATTTCAATACAGATATTTATATACACACATTCACACCCTTACACATATACACTTCAAAAACTCATGATTCTTCCCATTAATTTAGTTTCATTAGATCCTTTTGGGCATTTGTAACAATTATAACATCTGAAGGATGTAGGGGGTTATACTTCTTAGGCTACAGATGAAAACAGGTGCACATGGTGAGTCTTTATCTTCTGAAAAGTGGCTTTGCTTGTTGGTACAGATGGCACTTGAGCTATTCACACCGTCTCAGAAGATGGCTTAGAGGGAGGTGTAGGTATGAAGACATCCAAGCAATGCTCAGGAGAGGCATGCTCAGACAAATCTGAGGATAACTGGTTCTTAATTAAAATATTTTCTTCCAAGAACCATTAAGAAGGTCAGAGTTATGATACCGCTGTATATAGTCTGTGAAAGTGACCATTTTGAAAAGCAGCAATCTGTTTAAGGAAAGGACAGGACACCATATTGGGAGTGCACCGAAGCTCTAGGCATTGTGGCTGGCAGAGAGCCACAGGGAGACGAGATGGCAGAAGGTTCCTCTCAGTGTTTTTCAAGACATGACTCTCAGATGGGTGTACCATTCTGTATAGCTCCTACCTGGAAAAGCTTAGTTGGATGAAATTATTTGCATTTCACCAGTGCATGCCTGTCCGTGATCGTTTTCTCTGTTTTTTACAAAGGCAATAGATAGGAAATACAAATAAACCTGAGAATTAAAAAAAAAAATTAAAAGTTATTAGTAGGAGAGACATTTAGTTTTATAAATAAAAATTTCCATTTCCCAAACCACTTACAAATAATCTACTACTTGGCAATACCTGCACAAGGAGAGGGGTGATTTCTATGTATGAAATATATTTATTTCTACAGCATTTTATTCTCTTCTATTTTTTATTAGCTTCTTTCCCCTTTTCCATTGTGGTAACATTGGTTTACAGCACTATATGATTTAGGAATAAAGGCTCACTCCTTTTCAGTTGTCTGTCACCACACCACACCTACCACCAAGGCGCCCATAATCCCCCCACCATAGGCTACCAGTCCTTTACCCCTTTGTTCTCAAATCCCTGCCCTTTAGTACTCTCAGTTCTGCAGTCATATATCTAAGGTTTGTTTTGGTTTAGTTTTATCTGTTCCTTTATTTTGTTTCTCTATAATCTACATGAGTGAATCCATAGCAATGGTTTTTATAAATATGTTAAGCCTGGCCTTTAAGCCTTCATTATTATCCCTTATCATTTGCACACTATACCCATCTAAGTTCAGGCAGTATAGCCTATTACTTAAAAACATGGGTTGCAAAGCCAAATGTCAGGTTTGATTTCCATTTCTACCACTTCTGAGGTCCTAATAAGTCTTAATTTTTCAACTGTAAAATGCAGTTAACCGTATACCTATATTATAATGTCCAAATCATTAAATGTCTTTTACTTTATAAGTTTATCTGTTCTACATATGCAAATTGCTTTTGCTCAGTAGAACTTCACATATGAAATGCCATTTTATTTAGAAATAAAAAAGAAATCCCATCTATTACATGGAACAATTGTGAAAGCAGTCTTTCCCAACAGCATTTAGTTTACAATTTTCTAAAGCAATGGTTCTCAAGGTACAGTCCCTCAAGCAACATCAGTATCACCTGGGAACTTTTTCAGAACTACAGATCTATGGGCCCAAAAATTGTGGGTAGGAACCCACAATCTGCATTTTAACCAGCTCTCTAGGTTATTCTAAAGCACACTAGAGCACAAGAATCAGAGCTTTTAAAATTTGTATTTTGATACTTGTATGAATACATCTGTACAAATCACTGATGCATTTTTTTTTTAATTTTATTGACTTGCCAATCATAACTATATACTTTTGGGAGTACAACTTCACCCCTTTATATGTGCACAACTTCACTCACCCTCTACCATAGCTCCACACCAATGCCTGTCACCTTCACTCCCCTCTTCTCCCCTCCTTCCCAGCACTCCCTCTGGAGTGTACATTTTTTCACAGTCTTAGGATATTTTTTGCTATTCTCTGCCAGTTTTTTTCTTTTGTAGTTCATATTCTACAATGAGTGAAACATTTTCTATTTATCAATGCTTAATATGTTGGGTATATGATTCTATAAAAACTGAAAATAATTTCTTTAAACCCAGGGTACCCTTTCACTAGACTAAATCAAACACATAATTATTGGTGTATAACAGTCTCTTGTTTTTGATGTTTCAGTCTGAACTCAGAAATACTAGTTGTATTAACCATGGTGTTAAAGAGGGCTCAAAATGCTTTAAAAGACACCTGAATCAAGCTGTTTATAGATTGTACAATATTTGTCACACAAACACATCCTGTATGAAGCATGCTTCTCTGAATCTATATATCATATGCTGATTACCTCTCTAAACATGGAAAAGAAATCATGTCCACTTAATAACTGACTCACATTACTACACTTACATTCTCTCTATGGCACTCAAAGAAATCTAATCTCAGATATGTTAAGTGTTTCTTACCGATTACAACTGCTATGGCCCCTAGTGCTAATCCCAAGACCAGGATTAGAGGTGCAACGAATAATTTTCCAGCTGGAAAACAAAAGGCAAAACATAAGCCATTTTAAAGAGTCTTAAAACCATTGCCCAAATATTTTCAGCAATGCTTTTCTGAAATAACAGTGTTCTGCTATTTTCCAATTAAGGCTACATTACTCTAAGGAAATGTATCAGGTACAGAACACATACACAGATGTAAATTTAGTAATAACCCTGAAGTTCTGGACATCTAAGTCAAACAGCTCATAAGTCATTTCTCCTTTACCACCAAAAAATATCCAAAGCAACTGGCTCTCTTTATCTACCAGGACCCTTCATCTTTGTGACTTTATCTTACATCTCTTCCATTTTCAATTTTCAAGATTCTGAAAGATTAAGAAGGAAGCAACACATTTTGAATTGGCAGGAGAAAATTTAGTTAGCTTACAAAATGGAGAGCTAGAAGGAGCTACCAAGGTCAGCTGCCCAAGTTCAAATCTGAAAAGGCAATTTATTTACTTTGCAGGTTGAAAGAAAACCAAAAATATGAACACCTAACAGACTTAACTATAAATGGGATATTTGAATACTACTGTTACGAGAAAATTACCTACAACATACAACATGTTCAAGGTTATTCAAGTGAATCATTTTAGCAAATTTAAACTTTTAAGATGCACTGGGAGGATGTCAAATGTTATCGAGCAGCATTTTTTCTTCTAAATGAATAACTGAGTAGTGATAATGATAAACTTCAATCATATGTGAACAAAGTAAAAGTTCACAACTGGAATACCATTAACTTTGAAAGACACTAGCACACACAAAAAAGGAGGCTAGTAGTTAATATCTCATCATTATATAGTAATCTTGATCTTAAAGAATGTGATACAATATTATAACTACATAAGCAACAGCATTTATGAAGTGAGGGACTAAGCAGTAGAATCACACAGCCGTTTAAGAATAAACCAGGGAACACCATTCCACAAATTACATTAAGAACAGTACTCTGGAGTAAGCAATTATATAAAAAAAAAAAAACAGGGAGAAAATAAAGTCTAACCATGGATTTTATTTATCTAGAAATCAGTTAAAAATATAGTCTAACCATGGATTTTATTTATCTAGAAATCAGTTAAAAATCTGTATTTTCTTTACTATTATATGCTTTGTTTAAATACTGAATAACTGCAATAAATAATGAGAATTAAACATCTTTTCTTAGTAACTCCTATTCCCAACACCATCCATTAACTAATATGCCTACCTACTCCCTAACAAGTGAGATCTCTCAAGGCCAGAGACTGCTAATCACTCCCAAATCTGTTCTCTTATTCTCGAAGAGCAAGATTCTAATTACAGCTGGACACTTGGCCACACGGATGGGGGACCGTATTTTTCATCCTTCAGCTGTGACAGGACAACAGGATCTTTCTTCAACTCTTACCACAGATATCTAGAGGCCACAGTCCCAATCTGAGTGAGCAAGAGAGTTACATTACACAAGGACAGAGGGCAGGAGGCCTTTGCTATAATCTACCTTTTCTCTCAGATTGCAGGGAGAAGGTAATTTGTGAGTTACAGAGTAACCCCTTGTCCTGCCCTTTTTGCAGACAGGACAGGGAGGGTTATGATAGAAGAGCAGTAAGAGGCAGTCATGGAGGGAAAGATGTATGTAGGCAGTCAGATGCTCCGTACTTTGTCATGTTTGTCCTGACACAATCATGTGTACACATGTGCATGTGCACAAGCATGAAGTAGAAAAAAGGCAAAAAAGAAAACTACTTACAGAAAGCTGACAATAAAGTTTTAATAGAAAATAGTCTACAGAGACAATATTTCCCTGCTGACGATATCAACAGGCTATCCAGTCTACAGAATATTAAATGATATCAAATATAATAATGTATATACTATATATTTATATCATTTATATATATATTATATTTTATAACTTATGAAGAAGGTTCTGGTGGCATCCAGATAAATAGTGAGAGCCCCAAAGAGAATGCATCCAAAATATTACATTTGGTGAAACAGGGCAGAAAATAACTTCCCTTATTGAAGAATGACTAAACAAAAACAAAAAGGAAATCAAATGGTCAAATCAAAGATTATTAAAAAATAAAAATGGAAAAACATCTTACTACAAAATGGCAATGAAATGGAAATAAATGACCTTAACAATGCAGAAAATAAGAGCTGTCTTTTTAGGTTGCTTTCTGTATATACAGACTGACAAAGAGTTTATAGCTCAAAACTTAATTTGCAATTGGTTTTCTCATTGTTAGTATTGATATAAATATGGCTTAGCCCCTTAGCTCTCTCTCCAAAGTATATTTGACTAAGTAAACATTGGTTATATAATTACATACATTTTAAGGATCAGAAAAACATTGAAAAACCATTAACCCCAATCTTGACTATATGGAATGCTATTAGTTATGGAAAATTATGTTTAACTAATGATGTAAGGATATTTTCAGATATTATAAGATTTTAGAAATGATGGGACTGATTTCCAGATACTGCAGTGAATTTTAAAATATATGCCCTGCCTTTTACCTGATAGAAATATATTATTAACACCAACTTCATTTTGATCAGCCAGCCAGCATATGTTGCTGGTGAAGGGATGTGATTTACAGCAGTAATAAGGTGAGAGAGACCCAAAGAGAGAAAAGTAGGGCCTCCCCTGGTGGTGCAGTGGTTGAGCGCTGGGCTGCGAAGCTGCCCACAGCCTCTGCAGCGCCGGTTCTGCAGACCTCTCCTGCCACGCACGCTGCCCCCCTCAGCAGTGTATTTCTTCAGTCTGCCTGTTCTGTTCCCCGCTCTTGCTCTGGTGAATTCTCTCACCCTCCTGCGCTTCTGACTGTACCCAGTGCTTGTATAAATAAATAAATAAATCTTTAAAAAAGAGAGAGAGAATAGGAAAAAAAAAAGATTTATAGATGTTAAAAAGCACTCCATATATAGGAGAAAGACTGCCAGAAAAAGAAATACTATAGTTCTGCATTTTTATTTTTTAATAATCTTTGATTTGACCATTTGATTTCCTTTTAATTTTTGTTTAGTCATTTTTAAATAAGGGAAGTTATTTTCTGCCTGCATGATGAAAGAGAGGAAGAAATCTCACAGTGGTACATTCCAGAGGAGTAGGGAGCTACTGTAGGAAGAAATATTAGGTCAGGAAAACACTTCATCACACTAATTTGGTGGCTTTAGGCCAGAGCAGGAATTTGTTTGCATATCTGCATATATACAGTGTGTTGTTAGGGATGAAGGGAGGGTTAAAAAAGGCAATTCATTGAAGCATTTGTTCTTGGATATTTAAGCTAGTGTCTGCACACAATGAGCGCATTTGATGCTATTTCCTTAACTATTAATGACAAATATTAACTATTAACATGATACAAAAATATATATAATAATTTATCAACTATAGAGATGTGAAGGGTACTCCATTAATGGGTTCTGGAACATTTTGATTTATTTTATGGTGCTGCATATCCTCTATGAATGAAGGGAATTTATATGCAAGACCCACTGGTAGGTATTATCAGTACAAAAATAAATGATATTGTCCATTTTGTCACATTGCTTAAAATGTAATTTCAAAATTTAAAAGACTATAAAGATTTCATATTTCTGTGGTATAATTAATTATTTGCTTTTTGAAGAAAATCTGCTTGTTTATATAAGTAATGTCCTGCTAACAAACTAAAAGTTTTTAGGTTTAAACTCAAAGGGACAGAGAATATGTTGCTCTTGTTTTGGAATAAAGGCTCCATTAGAATACCTGGCAGGTGTTTAGAATTATCATGGCTATTACATTTCTAAGTTCTGTTCACTTCCCAAGAAGATTTCCTGTAAGTCACAGCAAATACTCACCACAGACAGACCCTCGCACTAATCTCCTTAGATGAGGTCTCTCTGGGAGGTAGCGATATTTGCATCCAAATATACTGAGGTTTGATGTGTGGTCTCCAAAGAATCGGAGCTGGCGGTATCTCTCCCCACATCGATAACAAAAATTAGTGTTACATTGTGAGCAGGTCATATGGTCACATCCTTCAGTTCTCTGGATGTGGATCTGTAGTGACAAAGAAGGAAAGAGAAGGAGAGGTTACTAAAATTTTTTAAAAAGTAGAATCTGGCAAACATAATGGAACAACAATTATGAGTTTCTCCAAAATAAATGCCTTGCAGAAGATTCACGAGACTGTCAATTTGTTTATAATCACACTCTCCAGGATTGTATTTACATCAAATGGTTTCCATGTGAAAAGAACATTTCAGGTACTCATGCTGTTGGTTTAGTTTGACCAATTTATAAACAAACACATCCCAAAGGAGACTCACTTATCTTTCTAGATGAACACCTAACTCAACTCAATGGTTTCAGGCAATTTAAAATGCAGTAAAGGTTAATTTTGTTTATGCTGTGATCAGCAAGAACTAGGTAACTTGGGAATAGAAGTGATGAAGAGTATTTCTTAAAAGCAAGGATTATGTAAAACTTTTCATCAACAAATCTCAATGTAGAGGAAATGATAGCAGCTGTAAGTGTATTCTCCATACCATTTTAGCTTCCAAATCTAGTATCATTTGCAGTATGTTTAGTGGACTGTTTATAAGACGCCATCAGTTCAACTAAGCACCTTTCTTTATTATTGCAGCAGTTACATTAAATACAATTTCACCCATAAAATAACAAGGACTTTATTTTTGAATCATTCATAAAATTTCTAATGTGGGACCTCCCTTGTGGCACAAGGGGTTAAGATGCAACCCTTGAAGATATCCGCAGCCACTGCAGCACAAGTTCGATCCCCGGCCGGCCAAGGAGCAACCCACATGGCACAGCAGACTTCTCCTGCCGCTCCCCTCAGCAGTGTACTTCAATCTGCCTGTTCTGCTCCCCACTCTGTCTCTGGTGGGTCCTCTCACCCTCCACACCTCTGACCTATAGCCCAGTTCTTGTATGCATAAATAAATCTTTAAAAAAAATTCCTAATGTGGTAGTCAATCAAGTACCAAGGCCATGTTATAATCAAAAAGTTTTTCTTTGATACATAATTGGATACTTGAGACTCAGAATCCTTGTGGACACTGCATATAAATCAGAGGCATAGTTTAAGATGTACACACTTTCAGTAAGCACCCATGGAAAAAAATAACATTTATTACATTAAAAAAAAAGATTTGGTTACACTGCTCAATTCTAGTGACTAAAAGAGGATCAACTAAAAGGCTTTCCCATTTCACTACTTAAAGTCAGTTCTCATCTACTGTTTATCCAAATGCTCTTACAGAGCATTCACCAGACTGTTTATCAATTTATGATATATATATCATATATATGATATACATGATATCTGACACACATATGACATACATGAATTTTTCTATGATGTCCCATTCTAAATACTGGTTTCATCTGCAGGCACACACACACACACATATTTGTTTTAAAATGTATTTAAAATGTCCCTAATACCGCTTGACTATTGTAAGTTTCTAGGAATGACTTGGACTAGTGTGTCAGTGAATGCATTTATGCAGTGGGGAACGTCACAATTAACATATGTTAAACTCTCCAGTGGTCACTTGACTTTTAGTTTAGTCTTGGTGACAGTCCACAAATTTACATATTTAATTTGAAATCATGCTGTCCGTCACCTGATACACAGTGTGGTTCCCTGTGCTCTTGCAATATTGCAATTATATTTTTCAAAAATTGGTCAATGTTTATGGAAGTGGAATAAAATCATCCGATAAAAGAAAAGATCTTTAATGTGAAAAGATAACTTCAAAGTTTGAGAGATAAATTACCCATTTTAAAATATAACCTTATTTATAGGTTTTGAGAATATAAACATTTTGAAGTTGAACTTCAAATCATATATTGTATTTCATTTTGGTGATTAAATAACCAAATTTTAAAGGAACAATGTGAATTTTAAAAGGACATCTGAGGACCCTATTAAAATAAAAACAGATAATAACCATAGTAATGCTGTAAACTTTCATTTGAGCATACATCTACATACCTTCCTACCTACCTATCTGGAGAATGTCCTGGTATTTACAATATTGAGGAAGCAATGACTAAGCAGAAGGCAGCGCATTATAGGCAACACAATGACTGACCCACAGCAGGTGCTTAACATGATAAGTGAATGAAACTAGAAAGAAAAGTTTACTAAGTAGCTATCAAAATCATTAGGTATATTGTAGGTTAATGTCCTCTGGCTCCTAATGGGTGATGGTTTTCGACAGGTAAGCTTGAGGACAATAGGAAAGTTGAAATACCTGGATTTGGACTAGAAGACGACCTGTGTTAGAAATCTGGCTCTGCTAGCTATGTAAAAAAGAACTGATTTCTCTCAAGCCTCAAGTTAAACATTACTAATATGAAAATAAAAATGTGATTATATATATAAATTTATATATTATATATATGTCAGGCACTATATATATATATTTAGTGCCTAACTTACATGGCACATTCTGAGTCAGATCAATACACTACTGATTCCAATCTATCCCTTTCTCCTACCCATCAAAAAATGTGAGTGATTAAATACATGAGCAATACAATGCTACAATACAATTGTCAGCAATCCCCTTTCTCACTTCTTCACATGGTTAGTTCTGTGGCTGACATTTGACAAGAGAGAACTTTCCTTGATAGCAGGGGCTACTTTGTGGTCAAAGCATATGAGCCTCTGTGAACAAGGATTACTAACAAATCATTATTTGGTCAATATAAGCAAAATTTCCTTTTGCTGGGATTGACCACCTTATTCTTTTAAATTATATTGAGGGCCTCCCTGGTGGCGCAGCGGTTGAGCGCTGGGTTGCAAAGCTGCCCGCGGCCTCTGCAGCGCCAGTTCGATCCCCGGCTGCTCCCCAGCCCCCGGAGGAGGGTCCTGCATGGCGCGCAGACCTCTCCTGCCGCCCGCTGCTCCCCTCAGCAGTGTACTTCGGTCCTTCTGCCTGCTCTGCTCCCTGCTCTGGCTCTGGTGAATTCTCTCACCCTCCTGTGCTTCTGACTGTACCCAGTGCTTATATAAATAAATAAATCTTAAAAAAAAAAAAACAAATAAAATTATACTGAAATCTTTTTCCTTAACTAGACAGTCCAGTCAGAGTAGATCAGGTTTTATGAAGAAGATTATGTAACTTGAGGAGCCTCTGAGGCTTAAGCTCTTTAGCTTCTTGGTAAATCAGCCTCTAGCTTAGAACTTCTATGTTGTAACAGTTTCTCAAGGATCCCATGACTGTATCCATTTGGCACAGTACATGGTGCTAAGGAGTGAGGCAGGTCAAAGGCCCTACTGGGCTCTTGAACTATTTGTGATCCTTCTTAAACCACCTGAGCAATAGCAGAAAACATGTTCAAAGACAACCCTGAGTACCCCAAATAAAGGTGACGTCAATGTACATTCAACTTTTGACTGTGTAATGTATTTAATCTTAAAATGGTGACAATGAGGCTTAAATTCCCTGGTCACATGGCACAGTGTTGTATTAGACCTGTAATGGCAAAAGGGCTAATATTTGTTTAGAGCTCGATATGTGCTAAGTATTGTAGATAGATTAGCACCTTTAAGCCTCATAACCACACCATGAGATTAGCATTCTTATTCATAACTGGAGCTCAGAAAGCAATCTGCCTGAGTGAATGGAGACAGGATTTTGATTCATGTCTGTTTCTTTATTATTCTAAGTAGCCTCTTATTATAAATTTAAAGATAAAACCAGAGGATCAAGGGTATTCTTTGTTGACAGCACAACCTTTGTACTAGCCAGACAAACATGTCTGCTCTCCTTGCACAAGGCACATCTGAGTCTTTCTGCTTGCTTGATCTGCTCTCCGGGTCAATTCACAGTCTTCCTTCAAAACAACATCAAAACTTTTTCTTACAGGAAACTTGGTCTAAAAAGCTAAATTTGTCACTGACAGTTCATTTGCCTCAAAATTTCACAAACATTTTTCACTGTCATTTCATATCTGCTGAAAATATGGCTTTGCTGGATTGTAAAATCTGTATGTGGCTCCTTTATTATTTCATTTAAATAGTGACAACTGTTCTCTTTTAGCGGTCTTTTCCTATTTCTAAAATAATATTCTCAACATAACTGGCAAATAATATATTGTTGGCTCAATAATATTTCTGTACAGGAAATGATAAAATTCTAAGCTCTGATAATACTCCATCGTAATCTTGCACAAAGCAGGACCTGTAGATCAATTTGAATATTTTATATGTACAATGGCAGTGACTTAATTATGAAAAAGTGGTTTCATAATTCACCAGCTGTCAAGTACTCAGTGCTTCCTTTAATATTATTGTGACTATAATTGACTATATATGAACATTTTAATTCGATATTAACAAAAAAAAATACTTAAAAGTGCAAATTAATGTACACCAAGAAATATTATTTTCACATTTGCTGAGCAAGTTGTAATTTTGAACTCTTAGCACCCGGGGGATACTAAATTTGATATGTTCAAAGAGTTCCATGAGGATACCATTAAAGGTCACACTCTGACAATGTGACAATGGCATTTTTATTAATAAAATATAGGGCCTTTAAACACACATAAAGCCCATTTTATTTTGTCCATGAAGTTGCTTTTATTTTTTAACAACATAATATTATTTTAATAATAAGCATTTCAAAATGCTTATTATTTAACTTTGCTTAAAAAAAAAAAAACAAAAACAACTAATCACCCAAACTTGTTCTAATTTAAAATTAAGATTCTGTTTATACATGAGAGATAAAGCCAGCTTACAACAGGCAAATTATTCCTAATCCATTAGATTAAACTGACTACTCATAAAACACAAATGGCATCGGATTTGTTATCATGCATAGGATTTCCTAATCTATAATAAAGATGGTGATATTTAATGATATGAATAAATAGTTATTTTTGCTTATACTTCTCCACACTTAAATGTCATGATAATGTGTCTCTGGACCACATACAGCTTTGTAATCCAATGTTACCTCAAAAAAAGTAATATTATGAAATGTTCATAATATACTAGGTAGTTATTTAATAAATTTGAT